AAAGAGCATGGAGAAGCCTGTGACATTTGACCACGCAAGACAAAGAGCAAAAGTCTTCCTTATAGACTCTACCTTCTAGGAGAGAGCATGCACTGAATGAGGACGAATCAACTCAGTATGTAGCTCACCATTCAGTGCCAATACTAATAGACCTTGAAACACCTCTCCAGCACTTTAAAACCTGTTACCTTTATGTCTTCTGCGTGTAGGGCTGCTATGCTCTGGCAGCTAATGCTTCTAAAGGTCAGATCTTTACATGCTAAGATGAGGAAAATCAATTTCAGTCCCCAGAGGTGGAATCACCACACACAGGGGTTATCCTGTGACACTGAAACAACGCAGTAGGCAATAAGGTTCAGCACACAACCTTGTACTGCATCATTGTCGATGCGGCTTATGTGATTCCAAGTTCTCTGAAGAACAGAAAGTGAGTATAAAGAAGGGGAAAGACAGGGGAGTACTGAAATCTTCTTTCCATTTACCCCAGATAAAATATTTAAGGATTACAGCTTGGAAGTCTTACTGCTTTGTGTACATTTGAGGAGCTGATGGCAGGTCTTGCTTGCCAGCACAGTTGAAGTTGACAAGATCAATGGGAATTACCAGTTTTATGAATCCAAAGTACTCAACTTTAACCTTGCTGAACGTCATGCCGATGGATTTCACAGTAGAGGAGCTGCAGGTGTGCATACTGTTTGACAAACATGGAGTTAAGATTTGAATGGGAGGCTCAGGAAGATACATGCCACTACTCCAACACCCTAATTATTTCTGGCTTCTGCTCCTGTGCAACAATTTGGTTTAGCAAAGGTTTCCATATGGAGACACTAGAAGCACAGCACACACAAATGGTTTTAAATGGTTTTAACCAATAAAAGTTAGGAGCAACTCTCCCTAGTGGTGCGCAATCACAGGTCTACCGCGCTGAAGTATGTTTTCCTCTCTATAAATTAGGATAGGGTTGCTTATCAGTGTTTTAACCCCTGTAGAAAGCACTGGTCCAAAGGATAAATGCAAGTAGAATCTGCCAAACCCGTAGTGTGGGCTTATGTGCCATTCTTTGACATCTAAAAGCCTTCTAATACACTGTGGAGAGAGATGTTAAAGATATATCTAACAAACAAAACAAAAAAATCGGAACAAACATTCATGGTACTAATTTTGTTAAACATTCAAGCACCCAGAAATCCAGGGAAGTGAATCCCAGCACAAACTGCAAGTGAAGCCCAGCCTTGGAGGCTCTACAATATACGTGCTCAGAGAAGAGCTACTGTTTATTCAAACTACTCTGTAGCGGGCAAAATAATCACCTACAGCCAACCCTTTGGCTGCTGCCATTCCTCTGGCCTCACCTATAGAAAACCACCGAGAAGGTGAGAGAAGCAAGCTAGTTTACATTCTTCCAAAAATTTACTTCAGCAGTAATGGAAGGAAGTGTTTCTAGAAGATTGTTATCGCTATGTTTGTAACTCAAACCTATGTTGTAGAAGGAAAACTAGGCGATGAAAGTCCAAGTTTAACGTACACATCAGTTTTACTCTATGAGGCTGACCATGAAGGGTAAAATCCTAACGACTGTCAAAGTCTCATAAGAAGTTAGATGTTTAATCTGCATCAGTACAGATAAGATGTGACTGAGACTAGATACAAAATATTTTCTAATACATTAGGCCAAATCCTTCCTTGGTGTAAGTTAACATAACTGCACTGATTTCAGTGAGACTTAACAACGTTTTGATTTTCCTGTTTAAAAATAAACAACACTTCCAGCATCACTGGACACTCACATCTAATCAAACAACGGAAATGAAGCTCTCACATGAAATTACTGTCAACCTGTCTGTTGTCATTTCGCAGTCCAGATTAAAGAAGGCTTTCACTTTCTCTCCTTCCAGGTATGGCCATGAATGCCTACTGAATACAACAGGATGGCAGCAGAGCAACAGTGACAAAAATCTGGTGGCTCTGCACCTGCTTGCTCCAATTGCTTCCAATTACCCTGAAGGAGCTCTGCATTTCTAGGAAGCAATTATTCCAGAGGATAACATAACAGACCATCACATATGTGCTAAGTAATCAAGAGTCTAGCCCAAGGAACCATCAAATCTCTGTTGTACCTTAACTTCAAGTTCTGAAAGGAGGATCATCACTTTTGGATGGAGGGAAGGCTGGACAGAAAAGGGGAGGTGAAGACAGAGACAGTACCCATAAATGCAAACACGATGATAGCAGGAAACTATATCATTCTTCTGAATACTACAGCCCATGTTGTTTCTAGAGTTGATGCTGCGAATTGCAATGAAGCTAGTGGGTATACTGTACGTATCAACATCTGGGTGGGATATTCTTACCAGAAAACCAAGTAAATACTAGAATCAAGTCACCACCATGGAGAGTGCTGTGCTGAAAAAAAAAAAAAAGAAAAAAAGAAAAGAAAGCCTCTCACTTCTAGTAGCATTATTAAATGTCTCAATCTATGTTGACATATCTAGTATAAGATCAGGACATAATTGTTACTCAGAGAAAGAGAGAGATGACTGCTGCTCATAAAGATACAAAATGAAGATTGACCTGCACTAGCAACATCATAGTTGAAACTCCTGCTTTGTTTTCCTTTTTTTTTTTTACCCTGAAAGGATAGAGATTGTATTGTTAAAACAGCTATACATACATTAAATGTGCAGGCTGTGGAAAATGTATCAATTATTGAACAACACAAAAATGGAAGAAAAATTTGCTATTTATCACGACTGTTAGTTTATGGGAAATGAGTAGACAGGTAAAAAGTAATAAAAATCTATTTCCCGGCTAATTTGAGGGGAAAAAAAATTACAATGAGGGAGTAATATAGAGGTAAAAAGAAAGGAAACAAACGGCAGGGAAAAAGACGTCTAAGAAAATTCAGGGTCCTTTACAAAACCTTCAAACTGAGAGTTGTTTGAAACCAATCATGTTCATTGCCTGAGCAGGCAACTGCCATAGCTGCAGGCAGAGGTAAGGTGACCACAAAGGCAAGACCACTTAGCAGTGTGGGTGCTAAGTGACTGGTAAACAAGACTGTTTTTCTACAATGCGGCTTATTCTGAGAAAAAGCTCCAGGATGTTCCCTTTTTGGTATTTTTCAGTTGCAGCTATCTGGTGTTATTAGTCTCCGTAACAGTAGTTAATGTACCTCTAAAGCTTCGAATCTAACAAAAGAGCACTGCGTTTTGTTAAACTTGAAAGCAAGCTCTCTGCTTGCCTTTCTCCCATGCCTGTGTCCCTCTGCGCTCACAGCAGAGCCGTGGCAGCCCTGCTTCTTGGCGCGCCGCACAGCACAGCTTCTGCACAGCTGGACTTTGTTCCAGGTCGCCTCTCCTCGGGGAAGCGTGCGGCAGGGCAGGAAACGTTCCTCACTCCATGGTTACCTTGCTTTATTTCTGCATAAAAGACAGAGGCCCCAGGCTCTACCACAGGCCAGATGCTGCAGCACTGACAGAGGAGGAGCTGCAGAGCCTCTTGGTGCCAAATCGCTGTTAACTAAGAGAAAATTCCGGATCTTGCTAGATCCCATGACTGCAGCTTATTTACTGGGCTTTGCATGCGTGGATGTGAGCTGCATATGGTCCCTACAGCCACTAACTGAGCTAGAAATCAGCTTTAAGAAACAGGTACACATTGGAGGTGGGTAACACTAGAAGGAGAAAAGCACTAAGCAAGACCATTCAGATAGCACACACAGCTTTCCAAAAGAGCCCTGAGCAATGGCACCATCTCAAAGGTCATAATAGTTTGAATGGGCTAAAAAGAAAAGAAAAAGACTAGAAGATGAAGAAAAAATGTCTCAAGGATTTTTTTTTTTTCTAAAAGATAACAAAAACCAACTCCATGTGCTTTTGCACCACCACTTCTTGGAAGAACAGATTATTTCTGATAAAAACCAAGCAGCTCCACACATCCATAGACCAGAAGTAGCATATATAAGTATTACCATTAAGCTTTTGTGAAGCGTCTGTGGTTCTCTCAAACTCCATCAGTACCAGCTGGTTATTTCAACAGAAATATCAATGGTTAACACATACAGGCAGATTGCACAACTCTTCCTCAGAAAACTGGTCTTTCTAACAAGAAACAAAGCAGCAATGAGGCTAACTGTCAAAAATTGCATCGCAGCAGTTCACACTGTATTTTGTGGTTCAAATCCCCCCTGCCCACTAATACAGAACTGATCAAATTGATCAGCATAGCTGTAACAGGAAGGAAGTGCTAGGAGGATACTTGTGCAAGGTACCCTCCACTGTAAACAGACACTGACAGTTTCATGATTAGAAGGCAAAATTTTTAAGAGCAAAATAAATTACAGAATGCAGGCCTTCAGCTTAACATTTGACCAAGCTGAAGACCTCCGTGTATTTACACTTCAGGTGACATTAAACAGATGAAAATAACTGTGCCATGACATAGTCCACACAACAGACGGAGCAACAAGTTTTGAGCAAGTAGTTCACCCGTTGACATGTGCAGTTACAGACAGACTGAAATTCCTAAGAAAAAAAATTCATATCCCAATTAAGGAATTTTTGTCCAAAACAAAAGATAGTTCCATCTGAAAACATCAGCTTCTAAAACAAAGATGGCTTCTTTTATTCCAAAATTACATCTAAATACTGGCTTTGCTACATCAAATTTTTAAAAATTGAAGAAGTGTGTTCTCTGTAATGGAAATCATTTGCACAAACCCAGCTTGTGTGTTACCATTGCCGATGGAATCTTGAGTGTTGTCTTAAAGCATCACACACAAATTGCTCTAGACGTCAGAACAAATTAGACTTTGTCTGCCTCCCCGAGTGACTTTCATCCCCAATGTTCTAATTTCTCCCTTGTAGATCAACTGGTAAAACTGAGGCTTATTTAGCCCTAGACAAGGCACAGTCTTCTAGGCTGACAGACTTGCAGTTTATGCTATTATTTAAAACAACCTTACATACCTACATTAAGGAACAAACCAATCAACTACTTACTGTTCTTCTTATACATCAAGATTTCAAAGGAGTTCATCTCATAGTTCTCAAATGTTTGCCGGACCTTGTCAATTGTATCTTTGTCTGTCAGCTCTCCATACATAAAACTGCAAATAAAGAGAGAAATTCAAGTCAGACACTAGACAAAGACACAAAGCCATTTATTTACTGTGTAAAAAAGACCTACAGAAGTAGCCCTTCCTTGATTTTGTTTCACCTGGAAAGCATATTTGACAGATGCAGCCCCAGGAGATAAAAGACAAAACTGGAATAAACAGATTACTTTCCTCCACAAGCAACAAGCACAACACTACAAGCTATTTAACAGAAAATGAATCTGTTCTCAAATACCTGCAGGTGCTGCTTTTTTGCATAACTTCTGCTCTGTGATATCCTGATAGCTTGCAAAATCCATCGTTGCTGTAGACAATGGGCCAATCCACAATCTGGGCATTACCCAGGACAAAATTAGTATCTGTTTGAAAGAGCACATCAGTTAGGCATTAGACAAGGCTGTGGTTGCACTGGAGGATATACTCATTTCAGGATCCAATCCTGATCAGTCCCTGCACAGTTTTCCCCACATACGGTCCCCACTGCAGTCAACAGGATTATTCCTGGGTTTAATTTTAAGTAAATTCTTATTATAAAAAAAAGAAAAATTACTCATGCAAAGCTTAGGAGGATAGTTTTATGCAAATGAAACACATGAAGGTTAAGCAGGTAAAATTCTTCTCTTGACTGAGGACAGATTCACCAAACTGTCTCCCTCGACGCCACATGCACTGATCCACTATGACACTCAGTTTGAATGCGAAGCCTCTTGGACACGGCCAAAACAGCACATGAGCAATATTTCTCCTCTCAATATCACCTTTGCTGCTGGCCACACAAGCTCAAATACTTCTCACAAGCTCAAATACTTCTCACAAGCTCAAATACTTCTCATGTGATGTGTAAGGCACAGCGCTCCAAACTAGACACCAGACAACTACGGTCAGTACTTATACTAGTAAAAAGAACTTTTTGTTTGCTGTATAAGCCAGAAGGATAATTCAATCAGTATTAAAAAAAAAAAACAAGCCCACACTGAAGAGGATTCACACCTCCATTGTCACCAGATCTGTCCATGCTACTTTCATTATCATTGCCATCTCGATCAAACTAGGAATATAGTCAGTGCTGGGCTCAGACTTTGCTTTTCTCCTCTGCTTTGGTTCTTGGGCAATCAACTAACTACACAGACAGCAGAGCTCCTGCTCAGGCATTGTCAGGCAGGAGGAGACGGTGCCTCCTTTCACAGCTGCAAAGATCCTCTGGCTTTTTAAAAAATAGGCTAGGCAGCCACACGAGACAAAGTGGAACTCATATTTAAGGGGAGCCGATAAGGGAATTGACTATGCTGTCTACTTTTCAGGATCTAGCCCCAAACTGCTCAAACATACGTAACCATCATTAATGCTTCCTGCAACCAAGAGACACAAACAAGACATTTTACCTATTAATTGCAAAGAGTTTTGTTTATTTTAACTTTCCCTTTCAAAATCTTTTGTCCCATTGCAAACTTCAAGTGCGTTTAAATAAAACATTCCTATAGCTATCTAAATCCATTGCTCAATCCCATGAGCATGATTAAGTGTATCTTCACACACTCTTTAGAATTAAATACACCAGTAGTATAATTTCAGGACATTTTAACTGCTTTGTTTCTCACAGCCTCTTTTAAATACCATGGGTTTTGCTTGGTTGAAGCACTTTGTTCCAAAAACAATACATATCTTTTACCCCTTCCTATGAATAAGTAAGCCAAGCCATTTCTCATTGCTAAAGCAAGTGCTTTTGAGTGTCTATTATAAACAGAGCATTGCACTGTGTTAGGATATTTTTAAATTTTTCAGGAAGTACAAAAAAAAGTCAAAAAATATGCAAACACAAATGTTAGGCCAGGTCCTGATCTGATCTGAATGGTGTTATTTCATGCATGCATTCCTCGTTGTCTCTCCTTCTCAAAAGGTAACTTACCCTTCTCTCTGTTTCATAAAGAGCTCCTTGAAGAGTTTCAATTAACTTAAGCAGTGGCCTTCCTTTCACACTCAAAATATCACTATCTTTGGCTAAATAATCTCTTTTTTTTATTAAAAGCTGTATAGGGCACTTTTCTGACGACCATTACTGTGCTAATCCTACTTTTATCTAGCCCTGCAATGCTCCTGTGAGGTATGACAAAGCTCTTACCCCCTTTTTACAGGTAAAAACAAAGCACTAAGTCTACAAGGGGATTTAAGCACCAAGAAGTGAGACTGCTACAGCCTAACCCCTACAGGATCAGCTCTCAAAAGACCTGGGAACTGGAAGCTCCATGCACAGAATTGGAACTGAAAACGTTAACACAGTAAACAGAAACCTGCCCAAGTTAAACTATGGGAAACAATGAAAAAAGGGGATATTTTGAGGGTGTTTTTCCCCCCTTTCCTGCATTACTTCTGATACCTAGTATTTTAACCTAAGCCCTGTTCCCACAGACAGTAAAAGATTCTTTGGCATTATTGCAGGAGTTAAAGAATTACATTCCAACTTGCTTGCTTTTTGGCCCAACAAAGACCCTGATTTTTTTTGCACTGCAGTTTCCAAAGGATGCTTTAGAGAACATGAACATATTTTCCTTCCCCCTGACAGCCTAGCAGTATGTGTTTTTTCCTAGGAGATGTGGGGCTACCTGAGGGCAGTGAAAGCTCAGTATTCATTTTAACTCCTGAACAACTATTCTAATTATCAAGCTACCGCAGAGAACAGATGTCAACATCCTCACCATACAAGTTTTCAAGTCAATGTGACTTGGCTCTTGTATTTTATGCATCTCTGTTAGGCAATCCTGTTAGTCTACATTGGGTGAGCCTCTCCAGGAGATGGAGGTAGACTGCTTCATCAGAGAGTCCAGGCTGTGTTTAGTTGTGAGTTACAACCAAGCTGAGAGATCCTTCTGTACCTACAAAGCTTTAAAGGGAAAAACCTGAGCACCTATCAATTCAAAGAGCAAGACAGAGGTTTCAATGATCCCATCATTTAAGTGCGTATCCCTTATGGCTAGTTCCCACTTCATGCCTTTTCATCCCTCTTTGATCCAGGCTTTACAGAGCTTACAAACACACAGGAAGTAAGTTGTTTACGGGAAGTAAATGAAGTTGGACCCATTTTCTGGAGTCAACAGCAGACCTCTGGCTCATCTTTGGGCTTTCTCCTCCAGCTCCATGGCCCTGGGGTGATCCTTAAAAAAAATGCCCTGCAGGGCCCAGTGCTTGGGAACCCTCCATGTAGCTGAAAGCCTGCAGAGAAGCTATTGGCTCCTGTGAGGCCAGCAGCCAGGCAGCTGAGAAGTGTAGCACCATCCACATTGTCAGGCCAGGAAAGAGGTTTCCAAGCCACCTCTTTCTGTCAGCTTTCCTTGGAAGGTTACCAGGGTCAGGGTGATCCGTTCCTTTGTTCCTGATTTTGTTGGAAAAGGAGAGATGATCTGCATTGGTGGTTTCCAAACTTCCTGTATCCACTTTTTTTTTTTTTTAACTTGCTGTGGTCTAACAGCCCATAGAGTGGGAGCCACAGCATCTGCAAAGAAAAGGTCTTGAAGGCAAATAGGAATTTCTTCCCAGTTACTCTTCTTCCCAGATCTCTCTAAAGTCAAAATAAAGACACAATGGGGGCTCTGTGCCTACATGGAGAACATGCCTGCATTTCTTCAGGAGCATCTCCAATAACGATGTTTTGTCTGTGCAAACACTGGCAAAACAGCATAAAATAAGGACTCCCACTTATAATTCCCCTGCATAGTTTATTCTGACAGATAACCTGGAGGTAGAAGGGCTGTTCTCATTGCTATCATTTACATTCAATTGCATTGACATCTCTGACAATGTGCTGCTTGGAGACAGCTCATAATCTCTTGAACAATTGTTCCTAACATAAGAAAATATTAAATAACATCCACTGAGGCAAATATTGCTTCTCTATCTGTAGGGACACAGGGTCCTAGAGGCCAGGAAACAGCTGTGGCTTTGTTGCACAACAAGCATGAGCGATGCTCTAGTGAACTCTTCGAGCATCACAGGGCAAAGCCTCTTGGGGGTCAACAAGGCCAGGAAAGGAGCTGGTCAGAGGAAGACCTTGAAGAAATCCATTGCTAAATTCTCTTCAGAGACAGGAGGTAAAATGTACATGTGACAGCTGCAGTACTCAAACTAATTAGTGACTTGAGGCATCTCTTTGAAAGAATTCAAAGGGCTCCCTTACCAGAAAATTAGTATCTATCACAATGTCAACTGGGTTAGGTATTGCCTTGCCCAAGGAGAACCTGTAAGCATCATCAGCGCTCCTTATCAGCTACAAGGAGACCTGAGCCAGGAACTGTAGAGAGTGGGCTCATGTGACAGAAGACCTGGGGTTCTGGCTTGTGCTCCATTTGGCACAGTCTGAGCAAGATCATTGGAAGGCACAGAAATATGCAGAAGCACAGCACAGAGCACATCATGCTGCAGAAACACAAGGAAGAACTGTAGTGTCTCAAAGGCAGCACAATTACTTGCATGAGTAGGGCAGGCTTCTGTCGTGAGGATCTGCAGCACTGGTTACTTCATGAAGTGCCTCTTCATATACTTTAGCCTGCATTTTCCACAGGTCAGTTCCGTTCACTGCAGAATATCCACATGTCAGCCTTTACACACTCAAATGTCAGACCCATTCTGGATTATCACTTTAAAGTAAATACAGTTGCTTTAAAGCAACAAGAAAAACATTTTAACTCCTTCCAGTACATAAAAATGGATCTTGCTCAGCCACTGAAACCAGTACTTTTCTCCACTCACAAAATACCATCACAGAAGGATCAGAATATGTCTTCCCAAAAAACAGCAATCCTTTATCAACAGTGATAGCAAGACTCCAGAACACCCACCTTCACTGAAATTCTGCTATCTACTGAATCTTGTTGTTACATACAGTGCTTTGGTCAACCAAAACTGTCCATCAGCTCAAACCTCTGAAATGCCTGAGGACAAGAAGCACCTCAGATATGTATCTGGTTAGGACAAGCTGACTGAGGAGAGGTCACCACCTTGCAAGAGCATGGAGCAAACTGCTGAAAAGCCTCCTCCCTACCACTCCCCCGCAGTACTGCACATTCACACCCACAGCATCTCAGCCTCTCCCACAAGGTGGACCTTGTCAAGCTGAACCTCACACCTCTTACCACAGGCCAGTACATCAGCTCTGCCTCCTCTGTCCCTTCAGTGATACACAGGCCCTCTTCTGGGGCACACTAACAGAAGGTCAGAGACCAACAGCCAGACAGACTCCCACAATGCTGCTAGACATGGTCCCACATTGCCGCCTGCATGGAAAAAGCACATAGAGGCGACCAAGAGGTCGCCTCTGCTCAGCGAGGTGTAGCACAGACCTTGGTAACAACTGCATTTTC